GCTTGGTGAAATGGCTTACGCATAGACCACAACGCTGCCCTTTGGGGGCACAGAATACGAGGAACTGATCTTGATGCTCTTTCTCCTTCCTTCATGCTTTGTGGATGAGTAGACACTTTCCATGTTCCACCGTGGAGGTGGAACAATACACCCCAGTACACAACAATACACAATACAAACGGTGGCATTTCTATAAAGGTGTATGAAATCTCTTGATTACACTAGGGAAGAGGGTAAAAAATCCCAACAAAATAGCCATGTGCTCTGGTCCTTCTCCTACCACACAAGAGATGTTCTGGGCATGTGCAGTGTATTTATTCAGTGTATTCTGGCCTCCAGACAGATTTATGACTTCAGAATCACATGAACGGTTGGACTCGATGATCTTAGAGGTCTTTTCCAACCTTAATGATTCTATGATTGTATGATTCTATGAAATTGGATGTTGATAATCACCCACAGAAGTTACATGATCTAATGAATTTCCTCTAGCTTAGATGAGGTGTCTTAATGAAAGTCACGTCCAAGCCCGTGTTTCCACAGGCTTAAGATTAGTAAGCGAGAGTGGCAGCTTAGCCCCTTCCCTGGCACTGTCTACAGCCCTCCTTAGCATAACACAGTCTGCACTGTACTCTTGCTAAGGTTTGGATGGGTACAAGCTAAACATGTCTTTTTAACTAAAGGCAGCATTTTTAGACTGATCTGATGGAATAGAAACCAAAGCAATGCAAACAAATGGACTGAGTGCAGCTACCACTTTAGTATTTCCAAGTAGGCTTCCCTTTAGCTCTCCTTTGAGGCCAGGCTCAGTTAAAGCACCTGCCAATTGCCAAGCTCTGGAACCCACAGCTAGGAATATTCAGGGGAAAAAGTAGAATTTCTGTTCATTTTTCTGTTAATTCCAATGAATAAAAGCCCTGGTAGTGGATAGGCCTATTATGGCTTCTAAAGATTTTGGTGTTATATTAGTTAAATCTGGAGGGAAAGACTTTTTCTATAGAATTTGGTCGCATAGGCTCCAACTGGAACTGGAGGAAGAGAGCAGCTCTTACGGGAATGGTACCACACACTATTACTGTCCGTTTGACATCACAGCACAAACTGCACAACTTTTCAAATCATGTAGCAGAATTTTTTCTTTAACTGAAGATATCTAAATGCTGTGTGTTTTCCTTCTGGACACCTTAAAAGTGCTTTAGATACACATTATGCCACTGCCATTACTAAGAAGACTTTTTTCACAGTGAAAAGGATTATGTGTAACAGCAGAAACACAGAGAATATATGAAGAAGTAGTCCATGCAGATGTCCTGCAGATTAATATTGCTGGAAATCAGTAAATGCTGTCATATATCAGGGCAATGTGCTCCAGAGATTATGCAGACTGCCAGAGGGTCCACCGCTAAGCTAAGCACAAAGCACCACAAAGATTCCCATCAATGTGCACCATCAGAGTCTGGTCTCTGCACAGGCCCCCAAACTGCAGGAGGGAAGGACTTTTCTGTAGCACGATGCAGATAAAGGAGTGGATTTTTTGTTTTCTAAGTTTAGAGTAATGTTGCCTGTGTATTTTCTTAGAGTGTCTCTGAAAATTGATTCTTAAGTGAAATACAATCTAAACTGTATGTGTGACTTCAGTAACAAATATTTGTGGCAGTACCATTTAAAATAATAATGCACATTTCCAAGCCATAAAGACTAATCTTCACAGCATTACAATCATTAATAAAATAAAGTTACATATTTTGCTGTAAGTGTTATCCTTCTGTTCCCATGCTTGCCTCCAACCTGAGGTAAACAACCTAGAAACAGTTAGGAAGCATCCAAATGCCCCATTTTTGAATTTGAAGTGGGAGTTACAGAGGTAGCAAAATGATTTCCTGTACTTCTATATTCAACAGCTGCAGAATAGAATATACCTGACATTATAAGAAAAGCTGGGCATTCGTAGGTCAGGTAGCTTCCACCATAGCATGAAAAATGGCCTACCAAGGCAAGCTACTGAAATCCAGCCTTGAATACCAAGGCTCTTAGTTGATATTCAAGGGGTTGGCTCTAACTTCAATGTGTATAATGTGAAAGAAATTAGTTTCATAACTGTGACTTTTTATTGTTATTATTTTTCAGAATAGGAATTTGCTACTCTATCCAGTTTGGGGGAACAAAAAAATACTTGTCCTGTTTTAAAATCTATGCAATTTTTTGCTGCTTGGTCACTCTACTCTCCTTCGCTGCGTTGTTCCCAGAGCAGCTTTGATGCTGCTCCTCGAGTTTCTAATTGCAGCCTACAATTCCTTCCAGGGAGTTAGAGATTGTCTAATCTCAACCTGCCAAGCAGGAACTTCCATTCATGGGTCTTGTTTTACCACTTGGCAATATTGAGAAGTGGACTGAGAAATATCCACCACTAATTTCTGCACTGGTAGATAGTGAAGCACTAAAATTGGTTACCCAGAGAGGATTTGGAATTACCATCCTTGGAGATTTTCAAGATGTGGCTAAGCAAAGACATAGCTGACCTCGTATGCTGTTGTCGGGCTACAAGCAGAAAGTTGGACCAGAGGTCTGCTCCTGACCTCTATGTTCCCATGATGATTCTGTTTTATTGCTATGACCTTCAAGAAATCTGCTCCCTTCCCTGTTGACCACATCCTCTGAAAAAGAGGCAGAAGTGGACTAATAAATTCCAGAGAAGGAGCATGAGACAACATACCAAAGTTAAAATGTAACAGGCAGAATTGCAAGGTCAAACAGTTGGCTTATTCCCTTCTGAGCAGGGACAGCAATTACTTTGGACTATTAGCACAGACTGATAGGTATTAGGTTATCCTGCAATATCAACCACAGCGTGCTTAACTCGTAATGCTCATATACAGTGGTGATAGCTTATGCCAACATTATGATACAATGTTAAAAAAACCCTAAAAATAAAAAACAACATTATGTGGGGAGCTTAATGAATTGGATGACTTTATTGGAAAACCAGCTTTACTGCAGTTGTTTTCCAAACTTGCTTGTCTATCATCTCTGCTAACCAGAGAAAGCTCCCACCAATTGCCAGCAGTGAAAATCCAAAATCCATAAAAAAAATCATCACCCAGGCTTCAGGACCACTTTAAAACTGTAGCAAAGAAATCACAGAACTTGGAAAACATTTGGTTTTCATCTGATGTAATGTAGAAATGATAAATAAAAATGAGAAGCAGCTTACTGAAAACTGTCATACAGGTACTTTTCTGAAGGCACAGGGGACAGGCACGTCTATGTGGCTGAAGAAAGAACCCAAAGCCAGGTCACAGAGCCAGGTCTACCTGGCTAACTTTGAATGTTGTATCACATCACACTTTTCCTGCATGCCTCCATTGTATATAGAGACAAAAAAATCCCGAAGTGGAGATTCACCTTGCAGCTTCAAGGAGACAACTTCCCCCCCCCCCCAGTACTGGCCATGATAACTGTCTAAATGCACAAGAATTTCCTGTATTTTATTCAGATAGTTATTCATTGATTACAGTACCTGCAATGTACACTGACCTCAAGAAGAAACATTCCTTCTTGACTTTGCTGCTAAATCCCACAGAAAGAATTAACAGCATTTCGCAAACATTAAAAGGGAAAAACCTCCAGTCTCCCAAAGACGCTGAGCTTTCTGCCTCAGGAGGCAAAAGGGCACTAAAAATGCGAAAAAAAGTGCCTTTCTCTGAAACACTCACTCCTTCACAGGATTCAACAGCTTTTGTCTCCAGGCTTCTGACTAAATGGCACTGAACACCGGACAAAACTAAAGGATAAGCTTACCAAAAATGTCGCAGCAGCTGCTTGCTGGTCCATGTTAGTTTTGCAGCACTGAAGAAATTCCTCATGTGAAACAGCATCTTCTGTTCGCATTAGACTTCTCTCAGTCCCGCAAATAAAGTTAACAGAAACGGAGGTGTATGAAGCAGAGAGCGAGCTGTGCTGCTGTGCAAAGGAGGGAAAACCAAGAACCAAAGTCTTTGCTTTGGCTGCCCCAGCCAGGGCTGGGCCTGGCGGGGGCTGACACTGAAGCTTTTCCTTGGTCAAACTCTACAGATAGAGATTTCTCACAGGGCCCATTGCACCACGCGCAGTTTGTGCTCTTCTGTGTGGGCCCATCATATCATACCTGTGTCAACACCATTTCGTAGCAATTTTGTGTTTGTTAAATATTTGTACAGGAGCATGTGCTAGCAGAAAAAGGCAAAAGAAGATTTGTCAGGGTGCAGCATGAGCAGGGTGGCTCCCTTGGGGACGGGACTGCGACCGTGGGGGGCTCCCCGGCCCTAGAATGGCCTGGGCAGGGCCGGATGGCCCCGCGCTGAGCCAAAATGAGGGTCCTGGGCCCACGGGTATCAGGCTGGGCAGGGCCATTAAGGCTTATTTGTGCCCTCAGGGCCCGGACAAGATGGGAGATGGGCTACATTAAAAAACGTATATATTGCTGGAGGAGTTTTGGACCAAGTTTTCAATTGTGCTATGGTAGCATTAAAAAGCCCTCAGTGAGGCCCAGAAACTTAAATATTGCTGCCTGCATGCCTCCTTATGTTAAATTGCTTGCTGTATCATCTGATGTTGGTCAATTGCTAAATATTAAAGTGATTTCATTTAAATTTCTACCTTCAAATATAATTGTCAGATAAGATTTTATGCCACCTGCACTGCAGGCGGTTTTGAAATATGGCCATTACTTTCTCATTTCCTCCTCTGTATAAGGAGAAGCGTACTTGTATAAATCAAGGTGATGGCATATCTATCAGAGACGGTGATATGTCGAAATTGCAATGTGAGGATGATATAATTAAAACACATTGAAAAAAAAAACTTACTTCCCCAGAGAGACTGCCATGAAAGGCAGGGTGATAGCTCTTGGTAGGATTTGTTCAGGACCCCTCATGCCAAGCCAACCCTGAGATACTTGGAAAATGCAGCAGTTGCCAGGGGAAATGTCAGGGAGAAGCAAAACCCAACAGAAATTAATGGGAATGAAAAAGCCAGAAGAACTGCACATAGAGAAAAAAGCCGGGCCACGGCTTCCCTCTTGGTTGCCCTTCTCTGGGAAATGACTCTCATGGCCTTCAAGCCCAGCCCCTGGGGGCTGAGCGTGTGCCACTGGTGGTACCCAGGAGAAAAGACGGAGGGGAAAGGAAACGTGGTTGATGTGCCAAGGCCCCCAGCCTCATCCTGCAGCCCCGCAGAGAGGGGACAGTGCCAGTGCGCCTTTATCAGGTCATCCCGGGACAGGGACTGCCCAACCCCAGTTCCCACATGAACCAATTCCCTCGTAAGGTCCTGTGAGCGAGCAGCAGCGCCTGGCGGGGGGGAGAGTCGGACCGGTGTTGGCATTGCTGTTGGTGCAATGCACTTCTCTTATGTGTGGGGTGACAGCAGCATCTCTCAGTGTGGAGCCCCGGAGCCACCCCCTGTTCCTGCTAGCTGCCCCTGAGCTGCCAGGACTCAATGTGCTACCATGTGAAAAACTGACTCACTCATCTCAACACCATAAAATGCTTCAATGTTGAAATCAGGATTGAATTGGTTTGGCATATTTCTATATTCCAGGGCTTGGTATTGAAAACGGAGCAATAGTAGTACATGGGTTGAGACACACTGGTGAAGAGAGAATAATGTAGTGTAAGAGAAAAGTAGATTAGGATAATGGAAGGATATTGATAGTCATATCAATAGTCATCTAATATGAACATAAGGCCTCTCTCCTCGCTAAGCTGGCAGGAGACTGACCCTTGACACCTCCTTTCTTGAGGGGAAGCAGCAGTCAGGGTAGAAAAAGGCAAGAAAAGCATTTATGCAGCAGTGGCTGTGGGGTGGTGCAGCAATAATGCCCATGCTGCTTCCTTTCAACCTGAAAAAAACACCTTGGGAGGTCAATGTCCTTTCACAGCTCATGTGCTCCCTGACCCCCTGGCCTGAGGAAGGGCCTGACCTTGGTGCCTCTCTTTTGCAGAGTGGGGCTTCAGCAGCTGGGGCACCTCAGAGGGGAGCAGCTCCTCCCCTGCAGCTCTCTCCAACCTGCTGCAGCCCGCCATGACCACAGCTGCATCTTCCAGTGGTACATCTGCTTGGACACCTGGGACAATGTGGCATAACTGGACCTCTGCCAACACGACTTCTGCTTCATCTGCGTGCGGTGGTTGTCCAAAACCAATGCCAGACACCCACTCTATAAACAGCCTTTCCAGTCCATCCTGCACTCTGTGGTGGCCAACGACGACTTCCAGGAGCTCAGCATCCAGCCACTTGCAGGCACTGCTGGTAACTCTCTCCTTCTCCCATCATTCCTTGTTCAAAGACCTCCTTACCAGGTCAGCCATCCTACTGGCAGAGATACATTTGTCCCACCTAGTAAGGTGTCTCCCATCTCTCCCAACCAGATGTTGATCTTCAAATACAATCTCACAGTCACAGAAACCAAAACCCTGTTGCTGACATCTTCTTCCCATGCATCTGTCTAATTGCCTCATAACCCTTTTATATTCTTGGCATCCACAGTATCTGGCAACTACAATCTCAGGCATCACTTTGTGGAACAATGTTTGTTCAGTTTTATTTTGAACAGCTTTTGCTGGATATCCCCTCGCTCCAGACTTAGGAGAAGCAGTTAGGGCAGAAAGCATCAGAGGGACAAAGGGGTTCAAAGAGATGAAATCCCTGCCTCACGTAGGGCCAAAAATCACAAAGACTTTCTGGTCACTTTTGAGAATGTGGCCACCCTTCTTTGTGTGTACTTACATGGATACCTCATCTTATGCACCAACAACTGTATTGATTAAACTCTGCATAAAACAAGGCTTAAATTGGTTGTCCAGGCTGCCAGCTGCAGCCTCTATTGCAGTACATCATCCTGAAAGCAAGACCTTTTTCTTTCAGCAAGGGATGACCTGGCATATCTGAAACACAGTGGAATAGCAAGAAAATGGAAATCCAGAAACGACCATAGATTTTTTCTGGAGGGGGGAAAGCACCACTGGGAGTTTGGCACTGCATATTAAATACGGTTAAAAGGCTACAAGCCCCTGGACTCATTCCAGTGGGGTCTGCACAACTGCCATCACCTAAGTGTCCCTGGCTGGGTGGAAGCTTGAACCTCTTCTCATGCACTCGACCAGAAGACTTTACAGGGACACCCTGGTGAACCACAGAGACCATCAAACAGAGGAAGCTTGTCTTTTAGGACAGCAGAATCCCAGTAGCAACAAAGTTCCTGAGTTATGTTCTGTTCATCCATCCAAGGTAGGGCAGCACCCCCAAGCACTCAGCAAAGCAAGCAGATGTGTCAGGAGCCTGGCTTGGCTAAGCAGGGAGCTCAAGGCAGAGCCCCAGCGTGAGATGGCTGCTACAGGAGCCGGAGGCAGGGACAGGCTACAGAGGAGGGACACAGAAACGATGCCCAGGCACGTAGGGATGGTGTCAGGAAGGCAAAGCTCCGCTGGAGATGAGACTCACAAGGGGCCTTCAAGGGAGGCGATTCTTCCCTCCTTTCAGCACCCGTGAGCCCCCGTCTGGCGTTCCGTGGACGGTCTGTGCTCACCGCACACTAGGAGGCGCGGACA